CATGTACGTTGGAAAGACAAATGTCATTAAATCGCCACAACAACGGACGAAGATGCTACAAACAGCGGAGATGTGCAATAACGCCACTCCTATCCATTAGAATGGCATTATACATAGTAGGTGTATCCCAAACCCGGGTATATATTAGTGGATCAGTATCTTCTAAGAGAAAAAAGCAGGAACAGCAGTACGACCAAGAAGACATATACTTGGCTAACCAGCAGTCGTCAGCTACCAGCTGGACATATACAAGAATGTGGGTATCGTAAGCTGGCATCACTAGCTTCTTGCAGCCTTACGGCTCCAATAATTACAGTGGACAGTAATCAGTGTTCAGTGTGGCAGTAAGCCACAATGACAATAAAAGCTGTACGAAGGGTTCCCACTGATTTTACAGCAAGTGACAAAACAGATAACCCAGCTGTGTAAAAACGCTGATTAAACACCTTCAAAACAGCCAAACATAACATATGTATAATTGCAGCATTCTTCTGAGCACCTTATACGAAACCACATAAGGCCAACTCAAATTAAAATCGACTGCCTCCATTTTGTCTCTCTCAGTTTATTGGAGCAAAAGAGCAGAAGATTCTTTTTGCTATAGCTTAAATACTCTTACACTTGTTTACCTCCACACACAGTTTGACTTTAGTTTATCAAATTCACTGGTTTGCATTGGTGTCTCGGCCTACAACCATGTATCACCCCGCAAATATAACTACGCAAGCAGGGAGATTATCTTCATTTGCATTATATTAGTATCAGGAGTTATGGCCATAGTGTACCATTCTTCCTATAAACCATATCTTCTCTAGAACAGCCGTACTATACTCCGAACTAATTTCGTACTCGGAGAGTCGTTATTCAGGGATAAAACATAAAGCTATCTCAACCTCATGAAACTCCAGAGTCAGCCTATACTCAAGGTGATCGTCAATGCTGGTGAACATCGATTCGTCTGTTCATTCGAATTTACCTGCATTCTGCAGGAGACAAGAAGGCTGGCGTGGCTTTGTCGCATACTGGTTGGAAGAAGCCGGGAGAAGAATTTTCTGAAGAATAATTGCACATTCTGTTGAAGTTTATTTACAGGCTTTGCTGATAGTAACTGTATTTCTACCTCGTTATCGGTGGAAGAATAAACAACTCTTTTCGATCTCGATTTTATTTTCTGCGTTGGTTACTGCGCGTGTTAGTCTGAGTATTAGATGTGGTCTCCTGAAAGCAGTATTAAGTACAAGATCTTTGCGACCAGGATATTTGATAACGGCTATGCAAGATACGGCAAGTGGAAACGCAAGTATTTATACTCCGACTCCTGAGACATTTGATCAACGTTGACCAGGGATGAATAAAAACGACAAGGTGATCGTGCGAAAGTCTAGATATATTTCAGGATCAGAAACGTAGGACGACAATGACTGCTTAACTAAATATGGTACGTCTAATAGTGACCAAACTTAACACTACATTGTGTCAGATGGTATAGGTGCCTGACTGGGTACCTCCGACTTGACAGATCGACGTAAACAGTGAAGGTCAATATTCAGTGCTGAACGAGGAATGTCGTAGACAACGCTCCAACGGTTTGCATTAAACTTTACTTTGTTCAGCTATCTTCAGTTCAAAACGGTGTTTCCCTCATTCAATACTAATCAATCATAAAGAAGCGGCGAAATCACTCTGACGGCAGTGATACTTACTTGTTACTAGAGCCCCTTCCTGTTTAGATTAGAAGAGGGAGGCAGTCAGCGGGCTTAAACTGCTTTTCCGAATAAGAACGTCCCTTACGCAATTGTAAGACACAAGGAATTTCATCAGCTTGACTTCAAAAAGTTATTTTCCTGATCAAGACAGATGTCACAAGGTAATACAGTTTAGTTGGGACATGTTAGAAAATGAGGTAAGAATTCTAGAGGCTGAGGATATTGACGTTGACGGATAGTACAAAGTATACTAACGCAAGATCTCTTACCCACAAATTCTATAGTATTCCTTCTGCGTAGACTAAAGGCAAAAAAACAGAATAATTGAAAGTCCAAATTACGAGATATATTTCGGGGCCAAATCGGAGTGCAAGATGATTGCTTAGCTAGCTAGGGATTCTGCACGAACGAACGAACGTGACACAACGGAGTACCAGAATGGCGTGGATGCTTGACCGGAAGCATTCAGCTGGACAAGCTGACTTGAACATTGAGGGTCGGCATCCAATGTTCAGCGATGAATGTTGTGGCCAATAATTTTGGGGAATTATTTACCGCTACAGATTCCACGGTTCCTAGATTGAATAAAAACTATGCACTAAATAGCCACCTAGCCATTCTGAGCATATATCGTGCTAAGCGTATGGCATACTTGACAAGATGATGAACTCAGAATGAATGAATGCTCTGCATTTAGTAGAAGAAATGACACCTGACTGTCTTGGGTATGCTGGATTCGTGTAAGAAACAACTCTGGTATGTCTCATTTCGACCTAACTAAATTTCTAAGGGGAGGAAGAGTATACCTTTTATGGTATGCAGATTAGGGCATCTGTGGTGTTCTTGTGGAATATAATTTCAATTCATTCACATCCTGCTCTTATCGAGTACTTTTCAGGAGTAGTTCCCAATCGACATCAAAGAGGGGCCGCATATAGTTCATTAAATTCCAAATGGTCTACTAATCCTTGACAGTGACATTATTACAATACCTTTCCTTGCACACGTATCCTGTGTAAGTGGAGAAATGTAAATATGCTTACTTCATGTATACCTTACTTATCATATTAATGCCTGTAAAATGGCATCCCTCATAAAGTGAGAATATATTACCACTATTATTACTCATGCTTATAGTCTTCAGAATGAAGATGTGGAGTTCATTAGCCACGTTGTTAGTCTTCGTTTTTTAGCCTCAGAACCTTGCTTTCTATTTTTATGTGTTAAGTGAGAGGGAATTCCGCCTGCCGATTCTACATACTATTCAGGTCTTCTGAAGATAGAAATCTTTGTTAAAACATTTATCTTCCTAAATTTTAATATTTAATATTAACTGATTAGTGATAAAAGATGCCTTATCAGTTAAGCAAATAACACAAAACTCTTCTCTAAAGATGAACTTTGAGTCAAGAACCAATTGAGTGAGAAGGAATCAAACTGATACAGCCGTTGCTCATGGCAAAAATCATCCCTCATCCACCTCTATTTTTTGCATTATAAGTCATAGCTAACTCCTGTAAGAGCAACTACTGTTCCACTGTGCGGATCTACCCATGTCAGACAACATGAAAATTGATGTTTTAGAATCTAATGGGCAGCAAACCAAATTTGGCCCTCGCAGAACTGCATTTTCGGATAAATAGATACGAAATCATTAGGGCGCCTATGTTCATGTAGCAACTAAACCTGTAGTGTACATTGTACCTTCGAACTTTTGTTTGAACGAACTCACCTGACCTTTAACTCCACTTCCTCTTTGTATTCGTGAACCTCCTGTACGGTTTCGGTTTCGCTCTCTCTCTGTGCTTTCACCTAGCACACTCTCCGAGCTTACCACCGCCTCAACTGCAGATAAATATATACCTCTTATTTCTTATCGAATTCCATATCTCTTTTGTGTAAATACAATTCTGTTCCAGTTACACTTGCCATCTCAAGTCTTTTAACCCTGATTCCGTTCGTTAGTACTTGCACGTTAGGCAGAGTACGATTAAGGTCATAAGCGGTGAAGAAGTTTTGGAAGAGTGGCTAATTTAGGCCTAAGTTAACCCAAGTCTAACTCTTACAAGTGGTGAGCCCGAGTTTTCACCGTTTGCCTCCATAGCAGCTTAACGTGTTAATAGTCCTTTTTCATATTGGCAATTTGTTTTTCACACAGAGTTATAAAATTTACTTGCCTTGTTTTTACTCATATTTTTTGTTATCATATTTGTTGTTATCATTCTGTTTATATATCGTCTTGTTCGCGGGATGGCCGTGACCGCTAGTCCCACTCAGACAAAGGACTCCTCTACCGAGGGGTCATCAAAATTAGATGTGGTGGCCTACATAGCTAAGCTTTATGAAGAGATAGATAAGTTAAGGCAGGAGATGACACCTAGAGGTCGTTCAAATAACCGCACCAGCTCGACTCGTGGTAGATCTTCTTCACGAGCTGGCAGCTGGCGTCGCAGGTCTCATAACTCCCAACCTGGAGTGCGCTGCTATCACCGGCGTTATGGTGCCAAGGTCCAAAAGTGTACTCGCCCGTGCACCTTCGATGTCCAGCGAACGGGAAACCAGTAAGCCAGCACGTATTGGCGACTAACGTCGCTGGCGAACCTCTTCCATGTCACCTCTTCTATGTTACTGACCGTAACACTGGGACACGCTTCCTGGTTGACACTGGGGCGGAAGTTAGCGTCATTCCACCAACATCTGAAGAGCGCCAGAAGCCACTTTCCTTACAGCTTCGTGCCGCAAGCGGTTCACCAATCTTAAAGTATGGTAAAAGGTTCTTAGATCTGAACATAGGCTTACGTAGATTATTTCGTTGGGTTTTCCTAGTGGCAGACGTAACCACCAGTATTATTGGCATGGATCTCTTGCAACATTATCAGCTACTGGTAGATACTGGCAAACACAAATTGATCGATTCAGCTACAACGCTCTCGACCTCCAGTGTTGTGACACACACACCTTCATTAAGTCCAGTATATTCAACCCCTGCCTCTAACGGCCCTTACGCTGATGTTCTCCAGTCCTTTGCCAACCTAACTCTTACAAACCAAAGATAGTCAGCTATCAATGAAAGTAATGTCTTACTTGTTTACGAAGTGGAGAGATATTTCTTGCAATCAGCAGCTTACTTTTCTTGAAAGCAATCACTTGGAAAATTCAGTGTACTTTAGACAAAGCATTCACATGCCTGAACACCTGGCTACTAATAGCAGATATCTATGTATAACCTTCAAAATGCACTATGACGCATTTCAAGATGAAATAAAGCAGACAAATCAAACAAACAAGTATTAATAGGTGACCTTTGGGCAATATATGACTTGCCAATAAAAGCAGTACATTGGACATTCGAGAGGCTTCTTTGACCTTGGTTGCTATCGTGTGAAGATTTCGAAACAGAGCGTGGTGATTTAGCAATGGCTTCTATATCCATCTTAAACCCTAAAGCGGAGTTCGCGAAATCTCAGCATGCATTCAGCATCAATTTGGCTGCAGCTAGGGGGTTGTACGATGTTTTAAAGACCAATTTAGGACCTAAAGGAACTATGAAAATGTAAGTTGAGTATTCTAATCTGAGATACTTAGGCTCGTCTCCGGTGCCGGTGATATTAAGATAACCAAAGATGGCAACGTTTTGCTCCATGAAATGCAGATCCAGCACCCTACCGCCAGCCTGATTGCGCGCGTAGCTACTGCTCAGGATGATATGACCGGTGATGGCACTACGTCTAATGTCCTCTTGATTGCTGAATTGCTCAAACAAGCTGATATGCATACTTCTGAAGGCCTTCATCCACGTTTCATAACAGAGGGGTTCGATATGGCTCGAAACAAATGCTTAGAAATATTACCAAAGTGTCAGATAAGTTGCTTCTCGGATCCAGCATCCCCCGGAACTCTGAATAGAGGCATACTTGAGGCTGTTGCAAGAACATCACTCACTACCAAAGTGCATTCTGACTTGGCTAATCTTTTGACTGAGGTAGTTCGCAACTTACCTAAACTATTTAGTAGCACGTGGTAGATGCAGTATTGTCAATTCGTAGTGCGAGTGAACCTTTGGATTTGCATCGCATTGAATTGATGCAGATGCAACATAAGACTGATATGGACTCAATACTTGTCAAGGGAATAGTACTTGACCACGGTGGTAGGCACCCAGATATGCCTAAACGAGTTACTAATGCATTTATATTGACATGCAATGTGTCATTCGAATATGAAAAAACGTAAGTAAGGTTTACTAATCATTAACAGTTAGTGAGGTGAATTCTGGGTTCTTCTATAAAACAGCAGAAGAGCGAGCATCACTCGTGAAATCTGAGCGGGAGTTCATCGATATGAGAGTGCAGAAGGTAATAGAGTTGAAAAGGAAAGTTTGCGATAAAGAAGGTGGTGGAGACTCCAAGCCTGGATTCGTTATAATTAACCAGAAAGGAATTGATCCCTTCTCGCTAGACGCTTTCGCTCGAGAGGGGATACTTGCTCTCCGTCGTGCCAAAAGACGCAACATGGAAAGGGTCACACTTGCTTGTGGTGGATATGCTCTGAATTCAGTAGAAGATATGACACCTGACTGTCTTGGTTATGCTGGATTAGTGTACGAAACCACTCTGGTATGTCTCATTTCAAACTAACTATATTTCCAGGGGGAGGAAAAGTACACCTTTGTCGAGGAGTGCAAAGAACCTCGTTCGGTAACTTTGCTAATGCGTGGACCCAATAAACACACCCTTAATCAAATCAAAGACGCAGTAAATGATGGTCTTCGTGCCATTAAAAACACATTAGAAGACGGTAAGCAGATGTCTGTTTGGAACTTTCGTTTCTTAAGGCATTAAGGGCTTTTTAATATTCCTAATAAAGGTGGTTCTTAAACTAGTGTCAGTCAAAGCACTGTACCTAACATATTATTCTCAGATTTTAACTGTCTGTTACTCTAAAGTCTAATTTCTTCCTTTCGCGTAATACTAACTTCATGAGACAGGCCGGTAAGTAGGACTTGTATACAAACGGAAGTCCTCTGGAAATTTCCCAAGACAATTTTTCTATCACATGTCATCTCGTAGGGTGAAATGTAATCAGTAGTACACTTCACATTAAACTTATCCATGTTTTTCTTATCTAACTTCCAGAATGCGTTATCCCTGGTGCAGGGGCTTTTGAACTGGTCGCATATCGCGAGCTTGTTAAGTTCGTCCCAACAGTCAAAGGTCGTGCACGTCTCGGTGTCCAAGCGTTTGCGGATGCTCTACTCGTGATTCCAAAAGTTTTGGCTAGGAATGCTGGTCACGATGCTCAAGAAACTATGGTAAAATTGCTCGAAGAGTCAGCAAAGGCAGAAGCTCGTTGTCACGGCATTTCGCCAATGGACCTTGTTGGAATTGATCTAACTACTGGAGAAGCGATGGTTCCTGCTCAGGTTGGAGTTTACGATAACTTCATTGTAAAAAAGCAAATAATCAATTCTTGGTAAGTGTAGATATAAAATCTGCTTTGTTGCAATAATTGTATACAAATTTCGACACGAAGCATCTTAAAGGATCATTGAAAATCTGTGACCAATGAATATCTGTCTTTTCCTAGATTGTCTACTTATGCTCTATAGGATATGACTTGCTATTAATGACTCCAATTCGATCTTAAACTTTGTTTCCACATTGGATTATATTCTCAGCTTCTAGCATATCTCTCCTAATAACCACCAATTTTGCGTTTCTAAAAATATTGGTTTGAATAGTAATGATTGGTGTACAAAGTAATTGCTAGGTTCCAAATCAGTTGTCAAGGTGTACCTTGTTGATTTATAGCCAGCGGCTCCCGGGTAACTGTGTATTACCACCAGCTCTCTCAAGACACTTGTTGCTCGTAGCCTGGTACATTCAAAATCTGTTCTGGGTAATTGAGCTTCAAGAAATAATCAGAGTACTATTTTCACCGTATGTTATATAAACCAGATTGGCACTATTGGTGCCTCGGTTTCAACATTTGACTTCCTTGCTTTTAAACCATCTCTAAAAATGCCTTTGAAGCATACCTAAAAGAGATAAATGGCAAATTACATCAAGCTATTTCGGAGGTAAATCACACCATTCTTAACAATAGGCGAAATGGTTTATGTACTCACATATATTTGATTGAAAATAAGGAGAAACCTAAACTGTCCGTTACTCTTTGATTGTTTTCCTATTCTCTCTATAAGACTCTACCGATGTAAACTCCCGGAATTCCATTGAAAAGACTTGTTCAAATCTCTTAGTTGCAGCTATACTGGTGACAAACGACTCCTAGATCATTCTGTTGTAAACTCAGAGTGATGGTCATCTGCATATTGTTTATTTAGTATAGTCTTACTGTTCAGTACAGATATCTGCGGAAACTCATCCGGAGTTCATTTGAAGCATCAAGACCCGGTTAATTTGTCACGGAAACTAGGGATCCCATCGTGTCTGCTACCTATACCTACTAAAAGAGAAATTGTCTTCAAGGATAACCTTTACAATCCTCCAGTAGTTGCCTTTCATGACCTACTTTATACTTGATAGAGTCTTTGAAAAGACTTTGGTTTCGTGACACCACAGGTTCAAGTTTTTTGCTTCGCTCTGAAAAAGCATGCTTCGTCTTAGTAGCCTGAAAATTGGGAATGAATTATAATAAGTGCTCAAAAGTAGCAGGCATCTGATATTAAATCCATGACTGCCACTGACATTCAAAAACTAGTTCAGTGTATTGCTGACATGTTCATCTAAAACCAGTCAGCTATTTTGATCCTGAAAACATTCACTGTTCGTTCACCGTTTGCAAGTGCGGCTAAAAGCTAGAAGTCACTTACATCTTTATATTGATTTGTGCGGACAGTTTCCACCTTTCCTGATAACTGATGTGGACTAAAGTCAAAGTGGGTTGAAAATCAGTTAGATGGGCAAGCCAGTATACATGGGTTCACTCCACTATATTTCTGACCGTTTACTCAAGTTATACAAATTGTTTAATTATAGCCAACAAGCTGTGTTTCTGTAGTTCTTTCATACTCTAAATCGTAAACTAAATCCCTTAAAACCTACAAGCATTTTTGCGATACACAACCGAACTGTTTGATTCGGTAATGGATGTCTTCGAAGTTAAACTGTATGTCACAATCTCCGAGAACGTCATTAGCCATAGTTCTTTTTATCCTATACTTAAAATGTTCTTCAGTCGTTGGACTGCACTCCACTTTTTCACTGATGAATCTTAGTTCAGGGATATTCGTTACCGGATATATCACCTTGTTTAATTGTTACACCAATGAAAACCTTTGAGTGTACATAATACTGCTTCACAACATAGATGTGCTTCGATCCAAGCTGTCCGGTTTTGTTTCACGCCACTCTACTTCATGTTAAGTTTTCATTTCTCTGCCGTCTCGATGAGCTAATTGGGTGCAGATATTCGGACCACTAAAGAGTTTGATGTTAATGGTGTTTGTCTACCCTTCTATATCATTCCACACGTTTCACTTAATGGATGAGATATGATATTTCGGTTCACTCGTTGTAATGTAAGTGTATGTTCTGCATCAATTAGTTTTGTCCTATGAGATATAGCTATTAAGCGTAGAGGTTAGAAATGACTATCGCTCTTGTTGTTTGCAGGATTTAAAGTCTAATGGATTTTTACAAGCTGACATGTACGGGGTAAATAAGAAAGACTGGGGTATAGAAGCCACTTGGTGTATCTGAATTAGTACTGAGCTATTTATAACATCTTTGTCCAGTCGCACTAACAAGTGTTCCCAAGTACAGATTAAATTCCTGAAACAGCAATCATAGTAACTAGTTGCACAGGCGTAGTTGGATGAATAATATAAGTGGCTGGAGTAAGCACTTCGGTGTTGGTGTCACTACCGAAAGTATTGGAATTCAATTTATGTTTTTGTTAAATAAGAAAAAGTGCTTAAATAAATCTGTGGGAATTCCGAACCAGTGTCTCATCAGGTTCATAGTTTTTAAACTGCACGTCAGTTTTTGCCTCCAGTTGAAACATTTCTCCATCTCTTTTCACTAACTTATCTGGGTTGCAGCTTTCAAGTTGAGTCATCGATTGATTTTCATGTTATCATTTGATCATATAACCGTATCCTATAACTCAGAGTTTTCATTTTTACAATAGTAAAAAAGGAACTCAAAAAACTATGTATTGTCCTCTTTATTGATTCGTCTGCTCTTCTTGTGAGAAAATCTCATTTCCCCCCGATAAATTTTTACGTTTGAAATTAAGAGCCAAGTGTGCTTCGCTGAAAGTCTGACAGAGATCTCAAGTTTTTAAAGTACTTACACAACGTCCTTATCTAGCTAGTATGATATAACTGTAGGACAAAGCAAAAAGGTAACCGGGAAGACTATTTGTCCGCAAATCTGTTCCGACAGTATGAAAATAGAAATTAGGTTTGAATGGTTTGGCCTAAGTCCACCTGATGCATTGTAGTCTACACTTACCAGTTAAATTTCTCTCGTTTTCGTATTTTTTTTCAATATATAGCATACAGTAACTTTTATATATTCATTCTTTTTCAGTTCAATCATCGCAACCAATCTGTTGCTTGTTGATGAAATCATGCGAGCAGGATTAAGCTCCCTCAAGGGTTAACTGTACACTCTAATGAGTTAATCGAATATATTTGCTTTTGAATACATATTTATTTCACGCCTTATTTTCTCAGTTTGAATTCACTCACTTTCGACTGAGTACAGGACAAATAATTGCAACAAATATTCGCGGTAATGTTCTGTTACGAAAATGCCTATCATAATAGGACTTAAGACTAATTCCAATGTTTACTTGGTTTTATCAGGAAGTTTCTTGTAATATTGTTAGCTAAATGTACAGTGGTAATAACTGAAGTAGGTGATGTAAGCTATTCAGAACCAGAAACAGTCGCGTTCATACCTGATAGTTTTAGGATACATAGACTCTGGAGCTCTCCGAAACTAAACTTTGATAGTCTTCCGACCAACCGAACGGGGCAGAGATTTTAGCTTTGCATAACATGTTAGGATATAAAAAACGGTATGAAGTCCACCTGCATTGGGAAGTAGGTAGGTGGAACTTTTTCAAGGTAAAATTATCCATAATAGTCATGAACAATATTAGGCTTATGTAGAGATCGATTTTATTTCTTGTTGAATAGTAGATTTTTTCATTCTGTCGTCTTCTTTTTAATGTATGTTTTATTGGAGAATAGCAGTCAGAACACCCCGTCGTCGAGGTCTGGCGTTTAAATGCCAATAACTCAATGAGCTACAGTAACTGGCGTTCCTGCACATTCTGTCACGCTGGAAACGTCGTTTAGCTAGTGGTCCAACTGAAAGGAGTTACTATCGTAGTGTAAGTCGTTTACACTATGTTGTAGGCGAATTTGCCAAGCATGCTGCCCCTCCGCTCTGGAGAGATAGGTGGGTTAGAAAAGGTCAACTTGGGGATTGCATTTTTACTAAGGGGCAGTCTTATCGACTTAGCGTATGAGGATGATATTGTCTGTCTCGGTGAAAACGCTAACGAAGTCTTCTGAATACCTTGAGCAGAAATCTTCGGATGTTTGGCATGCGATTCTCTCCTGTCAAGTGTAAGATGATGCCGCAGGACTTGAGTGAAGCGGTAGAGCTTGTTGACCACCACACTTATTCATGAACTTGTGTCAGACCTAATGGACTGATTTCGTACAAAATCTTAGCACAGATGCAAAAGGTTCATGTGGCATTTGTCATCTCCGGTGTGGGCGTGATATCTGGGTGTCAATCAAATGACGTGCATACTGCGCAACATGGCCATCGATATGAAAAGGCTGTCTTTGAACACACATTTGCGTTTTATCTTCCTTGTTAAGTGACACAATTTAGTGAATAAAATGGAGGTTAGGCGTAGAGTGCTAGGTAAAGAAGGGAAGTCAGTCAATCAGGTTCTAAAGCTACCTCGATTAAGAAAGCTAGGAAACGTTGCGCATACCGAGCCATTATTTTCCTCTTCAACACTGAACTAGGTCTAAAAGGAGTAGGGGTTAGTCAAATCAAAACCTGGTATTGGTCTATGAAGTCTCTGACCGTTGGTTTGAGACCCGTTGGAAGGTGCAGACTGCCTGGTTAGAGTCCTCGGAATACTGGTGACATGGTTGAAAACTGTTCTCAATGGTTCAGATGCACTCACTTTTTTATCCATTGAACCGTCATGTTCTTTCATTTTACCAATCATTCTCTCGCACATTTCTATTCTTCTGAATCTCTTATTTCTACCTCTGAGTGTGCTACATGGAATTCGGTAACTCAAACTACAGCTCTTCTATACTGAAACCCAAACAGTTTGAGTCAGAAACCACAGCAGTTTATGTATCTTTGCTTAATTGAGTAATTAACACGAATATATACATGCATTAAGTAGGCCATTTTCAAGTGATAGGTCACCCAATCTCATCAACCTCTTGACTACGGATTCGTCATCATTTTTAACAAAACTAAGTGTAAATTGTGTGGGTTACACGTTCCTTATAATTGCTTGAATTCTTTGTTTGTATCGAACATCTGCTTCATTCGTTAGGGAGTAGTCCTGTGGGCCAGCCAAAATGATTCTTTAGCGTTCTTGTGAGTTGTCAATAGGCTTACGATTTGCCTCAGATACCATGCCAATTGTGCTTTCGGTGGCTCAAAAGACTTGCGATATCTTTCAATTGTCTTTTGATGTAAGTGCTTTTCACACGAAGCATGTGTATTCTTTTTGACCGCTAGGTCTCGCGATCGTTACGTAGATGGTTTGATTTTATGTGGCAAGAGCCTTACCCGACAAATTAATATACTTGCAATCCACTAGGACGAACTGGTAGGTGTCAGGAAAGCCAGTCTGTTTGTCAACAGAAGCTTCTTATAAGTAATAATGGCATCTTCCAAGTGCAGCCAGTGTTCTATACTTCGTATCGGGTCATCAGGAAGCTTAGAATTTAGCTCGGTTTGATATTCGGCTTCTGTAGTTGGAGCAACTAACTTGATATAAGAATAAAATCTCAGCACGCTCGCCATTGATTATGATTCCCGGCCGTATCCGATAACGTTTAGAGCCACTGATTCGAGTTATCTCTCGGACTCCAACCATGGAGTCGTGACGCACCAATCGATGCTAACCTAACAGATATATCGTTCATACCACGTCACGGCACGACCACCTCTTCAACTTTTCCATCTCGTCCCTGGGCTAGCGAACAGAGACCGGTACGGAAGCCTCCGGGATGACATTCGTAGCACGTGTCCAGGCCACCGAAGCCGGTGTTCCCAGATGGCGACATTCAGAGAATGGTGATCTCCACTGTGTCCAAACACACGCCACCGAACCTCAGAATTACTCACGGGATGATGTCATTGGACACAAGCAATCCTACCGAGACAGCGATGATTGAATACTCAGAGTCGCCGCATATCCTCAGATCGGAGAGGCCAGGTTTCACAGGCGTAGAGCAAGACAGCCCACAGTGAAGCATTGGATATCCGACCTTTTATAGCCAGGGTAACGTGGCGACTGCGCTAGAAGTGGCTCAAGTTGACTTTACCACCCCAAGTTTCATGATATGATTGGAAATCTCGTCTGCCACACCTCCGCTAGCACTCACACAACTACAGAGATACACAAACTTATCGACAACCTCAAGTGGTCCTCCTGCCAGAGTGCGTGCAGGCACAGACTCCTGCCAATCTTGTAACAGTACTTTGCACCTAAACGGCGCAAAGTACATACCATACTTACAGACACTGCATGCTATCTCACAGTAAGACCATGTCGTCTGTGTACTCGATGTCAGAAAGTCTTTCTCTAGGGAGCAGATCTATACCACCTTCACTCAAGTCCTTCAAAGCTGAGTGCAGAATATCATCGATAACAAAGTTAAAGAGAAACAGGGAGATTTGGTAATCCTGTCCAACCTCGTTGTTGGTTGTATGCCCTCACTCTATCTGAGGTGTTTCCCTATAGGACTTCCAGGATGTTCACAGACTTCTCAGGTACACTCCTCTGTAACAGGCAGTCCCAGAGCACAGTTATGTCCAACGAATCGAAGGCTGCCCTAATATCAAGAAACACAACGATTGTTGGTCTGCAATAAGTATGGCGGTGTTCCAACGACTGACGAAGAATGGACACATGACCAATGCATCCACGACCTGAACGAAACCCAGCCTGCTTCTCACGAATCAACCCCTAACGTGTTTTGCACAGCCTGCTAAGCAAGACAGCTGACCGACCAAGGAGCACTGGAGCTAATGGCCATCTAAACTGCTTCTAAAAGTACTCTCGCCAAGGGTTCCAGGTATCCTTTCAGGCTGGTAATTGGCGTGCCAGCTACCTCACAGACCGTCTCGCTGGAACCTTGTTTTTTGCTGCCAGTGGCTCGGATGAGCTGGAACAGCTTCCCACTGTTGCCAGATGTAGCGGCCAACTCCATCTCACACGCACTTTCTGACCGCCAGACTTCGCGGTCTTTACGTAGACACTGTCTAACATTGCGCGTAAGCGCCTTCCGCATATCGTTGTATTCGCTGCCAGCTGAAGTGGACCGGCGTTCATCCAGAAGTTTCAAGGAACTCGCAGAAACCCAGTGGTTTTGAGGGGGAGCATTTTTTTAAGCTACAAGCAGCTACACTCGCCATTTGCATGGCACCTTACAGATGAAGCTAATGTTCACCTATAGTACTTGGAGGGTCGTTAGCAAGCATTACCTGCAACTCAGTCTTGTATATCAAAGAGGTAGCAGGTGCTACCCGTTTGCTCACATCAACGTTTAGATGACACCGTTTATGAACCCCACACAAGACGAACCTGGCACACACACATAGTTTGGATTACTAAATTTAATTAACACGTCCACTCGAGAATTCTCTTACAGAAACTCTCTGAAACAAGGAAAAACTGCATAACTTCGTTAGTCTAATTGGCAATTTTCAGCATTGTTTCTTTTGAAAACCAAAATTATCCAGGTTATACATTGCGTGATCTGCTTGATACCATAAAAATGGCAATCAAGAAAACAAACATAAATGCATAAAACTATAGACTACTGATTGATTCGAGTGAGTAGTTGTATACCACTCACATCAACTAGCAGTACACTACCAGTTCGCGCAAGTACCTAAGGCCAGAATTCGGGTGATTTGAAATCATTCGGATTTTCTGAGCTGAGTCACACCGGGTGGTGCATCGCTGATGATCATCTTAGCCCTAAACAAGTAAAACGACTGTTCAGTGTGTTACGATAACTTCAAACACTACTACTAATCGATAATATGAGTGGTATACAGGTATTGATTTCAACCAATCACTAGCATAGCGGTTAGGACGCTCGCCGACCATGTACATGGTCCGGGGTTCGACCCCCGGCCGACGCACTTCTTTTCCCGACCGATAGCTGCTACCTTGACGTGGTGGTCGGGCTTGAACACTGCAATGACCCAACAAGCTATACTGGCTGGAACTTATGTTCCTGCAGGTCCTACCATGCCAGAAAGGTTGTTTGGATAGCAGTTAGACTAAAAGCAGCTACCCAATCCAATCCTATGATTTCAAATAAATCACAAAATATCATGCCGGATCGGTCGGGGCCCGGATTAACAACGACCGCGCTTTCTGCTGCCGTGTCACAGGGCAGAAGTGATAAATACGCTACTGAGACACACCAAATAAAAAAGAACAAACAAAAACAGGCCGTGTGTGACCGGCCTCAAGCAGTTGTCCCCTGGGCTCTGCGGTCACGCAACCAACTTCCACGGTGTGGGCAGCCGGGAAGTAACAATCGCCCTCACAATCCGAAGTGCACGCGAAACCCCTCTAATCCTCGCTCATCTTTGTCTTCATCTTCATCTCTATTATCTTGCCTTCCTTCTACTAATGCAACTCCTCTACTTGTTGGCTCTTCACTTCCCCTTCACTCTGTGTGCACTGATAACGATGGAAGCCAAAAAGCCACCACTGATGGTCTCCTAAAGCCACGCCACCAATTTTATATAGGAGCATTTAATGTTAGGACACTTTGCCAAATAGGACAACAAGCATCACTAGCCAAGACTCTGGCATCCCGAGCCATTGATGTATGTTGTGTTTCAGAAACACGCATACAAGACCCAAGTGTGGTTATTCACCTAACCCCACCTGGCCAACAGGATGAATCTGCAAAATTCACCTTGAGGGTGTCAGGAGATGCGACGGCTAGCTCACGAGGATTAGCTGGTGTTGGGATAGCTTTAAGTACTAGAGCAGAAAAGACATTACTTGACTGGATCCCGGTAGATAGCCGAATGTGCGCTGTCCGCCTGAACGGATCAGTGAAAAGGAGAAAGGACTGCACTACTCGCCGATGCCTTTTCGTAATCTCCGCCTACGCCCCCACTGACTGCAGTTCGGATGAAACGAAGGATGAGTTCTACCAAAAGCTGTCCAGTTTGCCGCGAAAGGCTAGACGCTCAGATATAGTCGTTTTAGCTGGTGACTTTAATGCTCAAGTGGGGAAATTGTGTCAGTCTGAGAAGAATGTTGGTGGCACATACGGAATTCCGTGCCAGCGAACCGACAACGGTGACCGTCTCCTACAGTTCTGTTCAGATAATCATTTGTATCTTGTAAGCACTAACTTCAAACACAAGGAGAGATACTGTTTGACCTGGCGACCACCATCATCAAATCAACGCTGGACACAAATAGACCACATAACAATAAGCTATCGTTGGCGTGGGTCGGTAGGAGATTGTCGCTCCTTCTGGAACACGTGTGTAGATACCGATCACGCACTGGTCCGCGCTCGTGTGTGCTTACGACTGAACGGACGTAGGAAACAGCTGGCGGTAAACCCACCACGTCCCCAGCTCGACCAGGGAACTAAGTCCCTATTTGAGGAAGAACTAGCTAAACACATATCTGAGTTTGACAGCTGCGCTCACCCTGAAGAAGCCTGGAAGAATATTCAGTCAGCCATAGATACAGCTGTAAAAGCTGTGAATAAGGTAAATCCAAAGGTGAGTAAAAACCATTGGATTTCGACTGCCTCATCCGAACTGATAGATGCTAGAAGACTTATTCCGGCGAGCTCCGAATTCAATGAGGAGCGAAAGCTGCACAAGAGGAAACTTACGAAAAGTCTCCGCAAGGACCGTGAACAATGGTGGTTGACAAAGGCGAAAGAGATGGAAAAAGCATCGGCGATAGGCAACACCAGACAACTATTCAGGCTTATCAGGGAAACAGGTGGTAAAAAACAAATGATAAGCGAAACAATCTCCGAGAAAAGTGGCACCATAATTAGCTCCCAGGATAGACGTCTGGAGCGCTGGAAAGAACACTATGAGGAGCAGTTTAATTGGCCCACAGCCACACTTAACCTACCGGACATCCAACACCTCCCTGAATGGGAGATAGACACAGGTCCTCCGTCCTTAACCGAGGTTACTAAAGCTGTCACCAATCTGAAGCTAGGCAAAGCAGCGGGACCTGATTTATTGACTCCAGAGGTATTTAAGTACGGAGGCGACAGTTTACTGTCTGCGTTAACGGAGGTTCTAGGCAGCGTCTGGGAATCAGAGGAAGTCCCATCGGGTTGGTGTAAGTCACTGATCATCCCGATATACAAGAAGGGGGACAAGTCGTCTTGTGATAATCACAGAGGGATTAGCTTGACTAATATAGTATCTAAAATCCTAGGCTCAATAATACTGCGTAGATTAAGTGGTGCTCGGGAGACACAAACACGAGAAAACCAGGCAGGTTTTAGGCCAGGTAGAGGGTGTATTGATCACATCTTCACCCTTCGACAGATTCTAGAACATAGGCATTCCTACCGGCGTCCGACAATCATTATATTTCTTGACCTAAAGGCGGCATTCGATTCCGTCGACCGGGAGGTTCTCTGGCGATGCTTGGCTGTAAAGGGAATGCCAAGAAAATACATTGCACTGATTAAGGCACTCTAGTCGTACTCATGCAGCCAGGTGAGGGCTTATGGCGAGTTGTCATCTGAAGTGGTGACGACTAGTGGCGTCCGTCAAGGATGCCCATTATCCCCATTCCTATTCAATTTCATCATAGATGTACTAATGGACTTAACCCTAACTCACTTCAGCGACTCAGGGATTGACTTGCTACCAGGGAAGAATCTCGTTGACTTAGAATATGCGGACGATATAGTCCTTCAAGGCGAGGACTCTGACAAAATGCAGAGTCTACTGAACACCCTGAGCAACAACCTCCGCATGTTTGGCATGCGATTCGCCCCTATAAAATGTAAGATGATGCTGCAGGATTGGACTTCATCGACCCCTAGATTAGAAATAGGAAGTGAAGTGGTAGAACACGTTGACCGCTTCACTTACTTGGGAAGTACCATCAGCCCCAACGGGTTGATCTCCGACGAAATTTCAGCACGAATACAGAGGGCTAGGTTCGCATTCGCCAGTTTTCGCCGTCTCTGGCGTAGACGCGATATCCGACTATCGACCAAAGGGCGTGTGTACTGCTCAACAGTCCGCTCCGTCCTCCTTTATGGCTGTGAGACCTGGCCATTGAGAGCAGAAGACATGAAAAGATTAGCTGTCTTCGATCATAGCTGTCTGCGTTCTATCTCCCGCGTGAAGTGGAATAATAAGGTGAGCAATATTGAGGTTAGGCGTCGAGTGCTAGGTAAGGCGGGGAAATCAATCGACGAGACTGTGAAATTGCATCGACTGAGATGGTTAGGACATGTGCTACGTATGCCTAGTCATCGCCTTCCTCGACGGGCAATGTTAGCTGATATAGGGTCAGGCTGGAAAAGAGCTAGCGGCGGTCAAACCAAAACATGGCACCAATCAATGAAATCCACAACAGTTAATCTAAGCCACGTAGGAAGATGTAGACTTCCTGATTGGGGCCCTCGGGATGGTAAAAACGAATGGTTGGAAACAATTGGCGACATGGCTCAAAATCGTTCTCAGTGGCGCAGATGCATCCACTCCTTGTGACTTATCATTTCCAGTTAAACTGTTTTGTTCTCCGTTATTACTATTCCTTTGTCTCACACCTCTGTTTACTGTCTATATTTTGCATTTCTTCTACTTCCTTCTCTTGCTTTGCGTGCTACATGGATTGTGGCGACTTGAACTGCCGCACATATGTGCAAAGTTCTATGTCGAAAACAGACAGACAGACAGACAGTATGTAGTATCATGAATAATTGTTGTGTTTTTGATGAATACTAATTACGGAGTTAATTAAGATGCACACAAGCAAGAGAAAAACCACATTTAGTATAACAGTAAATATGGTTTACTTTATTCTAAGTAAATTCGACTAGCATTAACATATCTGTTTTTCCAAATAAAAAGAAAAGTTGATAATACTGTCAATAAACATATATAATATATATATGCTAAACAAAATCTACGAAATCTTATCATCGAAGGAAACTGAAGTCTAAAACATATTCCTCAAATATGCAAGTAATAGCCGTAGTTGTAGTAGTTGTATATAGCCAGATACACTAACTACAAGGTGAAATGCGAAGAATGTACTTTCCTGAAATATAACACTCATCACCATCATCATCATGAAGAATGAATGAAGGAAGGAAGGAAGCATAACAGTCTTCACTTTCTCTTGAATAAGTCCCACAATACAATACAACACAATAATATAACTTATCAGGTTAGTAAGTATCCAAACAACGATTAGAACCAAACAAAAACGAGTTTAACATACTTGTAAATAATGCTGCTAGTGTGTGTGTGTGTGTGCGTGCGTGTACTCAACTCAGACAGTTAGTTATATTACATGTTTTTCACGTATCAGTAATACATAAATATGTATATGTTTAAATATAACAAAGAAAAAAGTGAAGATTTAAAAGAATTCACTGAAAGACCTCAACTTTATATATATACATATATATATATATATATATATATATATATATATATATATATATATATATAATTAAATGACTGTGGAAAAAAAACAGACAGACATTATTTTTTTTTTTGATATCAGAGCATGAAAAGGAATGGATACGAAGTGAAAAGGAATAATAATAATAGATTAACATAGCAGGATAATCGATATTTGTCTAAAACTGTCCAGGATTCCCAAAAATATCATTTAAAAGATCCATATTTGAGGTAGCCGTAGCAGTAGCATTAGTACTGGTGGTAGTGTTAGTATTAGTAGAAGTAGGATTCTGAACAGAGGAGAGAAAAAAATTATGTTTAACACAGTGGTTAGTGAAAAAAATTAACGGATTCATACTATTTATATATGGTAAGGTGAATAGGTAAATTTAATTAACTTTTATCTCTACTCATCTTGTGTTTAGTCAAGAAACCGGACATTTGCAATGAAACTTATCTTTAAAAAGAAAGAATTATTATTTGGTTTATTTTATTTTTTTATTATAGCTTGACTCACACAGTATTTTTGATATAAGTATGGAATTTTCAGTATGTGATATCGGTAGCTTAAATTTAGCAGGCCGGCAATTGATATCAGGTATGCGTCGGCCGGAGATCGAACCCTGGATCAGCGTCCTAACCGCTGTGCCACCGATGCACGTAATAATGATAATTGTCATTAATGAACCAATCTACTATAGTAGATTACTGTTTAATACTATGCTCTCTGTGGTGAAAAGACACACAACTCTAGAGAATTCAATAAATTGCAATAATTTTACTATGAGAACTATGAACAGTGAAGCGTCAAATCGACAAAGTGGGATAACATTTGTGGAAAATAATGGTCAGACTGTCACTATGCAACCTATGTCACCATCTCGGACATAATGAACCGTACACATATTTTATGTGATAAGGAAAATGCAAGGCATGACACTAATAACTTACTGAGAAAAACTAAGTAAACGGTCCCCTTTTTATTCTTTCTTCCACTTTTACACTGTTGTTAATATTTTTACTCGAAATTTTAATTTTATATTCATATTCTTATTTGACAATATTATCAACGTGAATGCTCCATTTAATTACTTACTACTCCTGCATTACGTAACGAGAAAATACTAGATGAAATAATGTATACATGCTGAAAATTCCATATTTCTATCAAAAGCACTGTTTGGAATAAAGATACTATTATTATTATTAGATAAGAGTGCATTATTTTGTAATATATAATCACTTTGGTATAGTACGCACGTCAGACACACCACCTAAACTAATTTTCTCATGTGAATCTCAACATTTTGGTATTTTCTGGTTCATTAGAAACTACAGGATGCTACCTGATACTTGAGGAAATATTTTCACGAAGGCACAGGAATATACACATTGGGTCATAGGAGTTATTAAAAAGACAATTGCAGCGAAGAAAATTTTCTTTTCGACGAAGTCATCATCTAGGCTGTACATTCGTGTATTTATATCAAATGGATGGGAAAGTTCCAGAATAATTTCCGGTTAAGGGTCAAATTAATAAAAATTACAATTAGGAATTAGAATGCCATAATAAACAGGGGGACGGATAAAACTCGAACAAAGTAGCATTATAATAACTAAGAAGATTGACATTGTGCAATTGGGGGTTAGAAATGTAGAAATAACAAAATATACAGGATGTTTGGATAAAAAACTAATATGATGAATAATTGTTTATGCAATCAGGGATTAAATATGTAGAAATAGTAAAATGACAAAATAAACAGGAAGAGTGGATATGAAAATATGGTAGTGTAGACAGGGATTAAGAAAAACTTAAAATAACATGAATAAACAGGAAGTTTAGATAAGAAAGGCGATGAGATTGTCATTACTAAAAAATTTTTACCTGTTTATGATGGCCATGGCAGGGAGAGGGGTTGGACGTAATTCTTTTGGATACAAAGTGTGGGTTTGAGCTTTTGGATAGCTAGCGCCTCAGCTATGCCCAGATGTCTTGATTTGACTCCCTTTGATAGGTTTGATTGAATCTTGTATATTACTTTGAAGGATTTTTCGAAAGGCGCTGAATGTCCTGAGTTGACCAGATGTTCTGTCACTGAACTGTATACACGTTTTCGGTCTCCTTTTACTAGCCAGGCTGGGTAGTGTTCACGAGCGCGTTTTCCAAGTCGGCGCATGGTACGGCCGATGTACTCAGCTCCACAAGAGCAAGTAAACTGGTATATGCACGTTGAGGTGGCCCAATGCGACGGCTTGTCTTTCACGTTCTGGCTGAACAGTTTCTTGCAAGAAAACGTCAGTCGTAGGCTCGCGGCGAAGTATGTTTTCCTAAGAGATTTGCAGAGGCGTTTGCGAAGGATTTCTGCTTCAATATCACCTTTGAATTCTAGATTAAGCAGAAGTATTTTCTTTGGAACGGATTGGACTTGTTCTGAAGTCTTCTTAGATTTGAGATTTTTGTCTATGAACCTGGGCGGGAAACCGTTTTTCATCAGGGTTCCTCGGAGATTACGCAGTTCTTCGTCAATCACTCTCTCGCTGCATATCTTCTGAATCCTCGAGGAAAGAGCGTATATCAGGTTCCTCCTTCTGCTTAGGGGCACGAAGCTTTGAAAGTTGATGAATTGTTCATTCCAAGTAGGCTTTTTGTATATGGATCTTTTCAGAGAGTTGTTGGCGTTTCTTGTCAGCTGGACGTCGAGGAAGTGAAACGAATGTACAGCCTAGATGAAGGCACAGGAATTGTTATTCAGTGTTATTTATACTAACTAGGGAGTTTAAGCTGCAACTATTCCTCAACATCTTTGGTGAATCAGTCACTAAACTAGTTAACTTCCTGGGAGATAAATACAATAAACAGAACAACAAATATCACTGTGTACATGAAAAAAAGTAATGTTGCAAACAACTAATCACTTACATTAGACGTAGGCATAGAAAGTACATTGTCCGATTGCTGTGAATCACCGCCGACTAAATCAAAAGATGTTGGAAAGTTTACAGTCTCCCCAGTGGTCGTCGTCGTAGTAGTAGTAGTAGTAGTACGACTTCCACGAGAACGAGAAATAGCTGGTGGCGGTGGAGGAGGCAGCAGACCACTACCACCACCGCCGGATAATCCACCACCACCGATTGGACGTGAAACTTTTGACTTCTGATTAGGCTCATCTCCTGTACGTCGTGTGTTAAGATTCAATTTAATCTTTTCGCCTTGTTTGAACGCCATATTTATAGCTGGTTGATCGGCTGCTATTTTCTCCATTTCCTCAGCTTCTTTTTCTTGTTTCAACCACCTGTGTATAGAGAATGAACAAAATGAGATGTTTTCATTTCAAGTCCACAAGGAAGTAATCACATTAATCCTACAAATAATCAATCACATCTCTTAGAATATATATATATATATACTTGTTTGACAGATACTGTTCAAATCTGACACGATGGCGACTAGTGTTAAGCATGATTAGTCAATTAAACCATTTTATGAATCTAGTGACAAAAAGAGATTAACGAAAGGTTCTTTTATTTTCAACTGTAGTTTTAACCTCTGATTCCTGTTGCTGCTTGAGACTTATACCAATTGTTTTTCTTTGTGAAGAGCAACAGATTGTACACCATTAATCTTTTTCCCTTTTTTCACGTTTTTTGCTATGACAATTCCTTGACAAGTTGAAGAAGGCAACAAAACACTCTTAATAACAACTTAGTTGTACATTTTACTGAAGAAAGGGTTTATTAGGTGACTTTGAAATAGTACGCCTGGCGTACATTTTTTCCGGTATCAAAGTTTAGGAATACAAATCATTAATACCAAGTTCCATCATATTAACTGTCAAATGTTTTGCATAACAATAATGTAAAGTAACACTCCCTTAAATAAGCAATCTATCTAATTACAACACATGGTATAATATAGTGGTGTAAATACTTACTATGTATGTTTGACTTTTTTTATGAAAAATCTCCGTGTACTAATCTACACATTGTCTACTGCATTACTTCACACTTTTCATAGCAGTTTGTTTGGTTTATAATAGAAATCTGAATATGTATATATATATATATGACATTTTCCAAAAGGTCAAAACCCTTTAACTGATTGCCTGACGTGCATACTACCCGTCATATATGAGACTGACATAATATAGTGCTTTCACTGACAGAATGAAGGCTGAAAACTACTCAATAAGACAGCTATTTCGATAATACTGAAAAACGCATATTATTGGTTAAACTGCTTTCCTATGCACACACACACACATATATATACGCAAAAATCAAGCAGCTAATTATTTCATAACTAGTATTAATAGTTAAGACAGATATAGAGGTCACAGCAAACCACACATACTATATAAGTGGATCGATAAAAATATCAAGAACCAAAGCACTGAAAGTTGTCTTTATTTTATGCTGTTAAGAAAATTTAGCTTTTTAATTTAGCGCCATGAATGAATACGTTGTAAGCAAAACTTTTTCATACACAGAACTCATCAATTAAAAATACTGATGAACCCTATCCGTAGAAAACATCAAATTACATGCACTACTACACTCTGTCTTAAAGGGAAACAACTACTTATAAGCACATATCTACCTCATAAAAGTAGAGTCATTCCTGAGTATTTTGCTATCCTGGGAGAGTAGAGTGTCAGAAATTATTGTGAAAACAGGCAAGATTGAAGTATACCATCAATGATGCACTAGTTGTGTTAGTAAACTTGATTTACTTAACATTTTCATATACCCACAGTGACATGTGATTGTTACTGAAGAATTAGTTTATATTATTCATTTCCGCGATAACTTTATACAGGATGCAACTTAATGGTTTTGGATACTATCAGATATAGCACGAAACTGAAAGTAATGGTGATTATGTTGTATCACTTCAGTTTGTTGTATTATCAAACAGTCTTCTGCATATTTTATAGTAAGAATGATTATCTGCTCATTCTGTTACTTTCCAACTATTCTCTTCCTATTCTTTCTGAATTGTTGGCATGATACTCTGTATAATTGTAATACAATAGCACATGCTAACACAACACGATCACCCACCATCTTAAGACACAACATCATAAACTGACCACCTCTCTACTTCTAACCTTTTTCAGATACCAACTATGACTCGGTACCTAAGTGGATAAAATTGCTATCAGAGAGACTGAAGTATGTTAGTGAATGTTTTAAAAATACACAGATCAGTGAGCAGTTTCTAAAGTTATTTGGTTTGGGTCACGTAGGGAGGTGTAGGCTGTCTAGTTGGGGTCACAGGGGTGCTGAGAACTAATGGCCTGAGATTATTGGTGATATGGCTATAAATCTTTCTCAACAGCGCAGATGTATTCACTCGTTGTGATTTCGCATATCCACTAAACTACCATGTTTTCCTATGTTACTATTCTTTCTCCCTCACATTTCTGCTTGTTATAGCTCTTTTGTATCTCTCTTTTCTCTACTTTTCTGTGTTACACAGTGTGGTAACTTGAAATAGTGCACTTCTGTGTTAGGTTCTATGTTGAAAACCCAACTACTTATTTTATTCCATTACGTACAAAGCAGTGGAGTCGTCTTAGTGAAACCACTTATGAATACCATACCTATTCATTTATTTTAATGACATATTTGCATTTTGGGTTTGCAGGGTTTTCATAAATTTAAATGTTGGTTCGTCCACGAGTCGATATAAGCTAGAGAATCATTAAAAAACAGAGCATATATATGTATATACCAGTGATTCAGAAATGTAACCTTATGAATTTACCAAGAAAGAAAGTAGAAAAAAGTGTTGAAGGAACTTATTAGTTAAACGGAATTAACAAAAAAACAAATTTTAATAAATTAACTTACTTAAAGTGGTCCTGAATTGCTACATTTAAGTCAAAAGAATCTGATCGTTCTGTGAAACCAATTCCAGTAAACGTGGTCCGTCCATCATTACTTACAAGTCGAATAACAAAATACCGACTTGAGTCGAGAACTGGTTCAACTGATATTCCAGGAAAGGAGTCTACAGGGCATTTAGCAAATAACTGTCCAGAGTTTTTGTCCTCCAATAGTATGACTAGATCTTTTCCCTTGGAAACAACGCGAAGTCTTACAGTCCACATAGGTGCTTCTAAGTTCCAATCATTAGCTCTATATCCTCGATTAGATGGTCTGGGGGGAATTCGATACACGAACACTTCATTTTTAACCAAAAGCACACTTTCGTAATCCATGAAGCTGAATACAAAAACAGTACACACCAAATAACAGGTGATCTTTTGCAACAGAGCAGTTAAACTAAGCACAAAAATTTGAAAAAAAATAACTCTGATGGGTATCTGATATATAAGCGTGGGAAAATAAAATACCCCATGCTCACATCCCAATTTTGTCAGTAACTGCTGTTCCAGACTTTTAATGAATTTCCTAAAATTGGGAGATTGAAACAGCTGTTTGGTTGTTGCTCAATACGCGAAGTGGTCAACATCATTATGAATAACTGAAAGATTGATTTTTCTGAATTAGGAGGGATAAATTAGATCTAAAACCAATCAGGAATACACCGTCCGATGTTAGTTTAACAGTGGTAGATCAGGTATAAAATGTTTTCGTAAGCAGCCTTTTACAAGCTACTTATTTCACATACGTTACGATGCTAACATAAGCTAATCAATCCCAATTATTAACTGTATACCTATCAGCTTGTTAAAATCACGAAGAATTCAAATTCTGCAATTCGACACATTTTATTTTGACAGTATAATTTTGTGACTATAAAAACAATTCTTTCGACTATTACTTCCTCTAATGGTTTGTCGCCACAAAAATCGTCTATTTAGTTAAAACACGCAAACTCATCGTCTACCTAATGTGAATATGCAACAGTGGAGACTGAAGAGAAACATAAGAATATTGGTTTCTTAATAATATGTAGTTCAATTATTATGGGAATTGTCAAACACTATAAGTTTTTTATTATTTCATTCCAACAATGTAGATGTCCCTTCGGAACCCATATTTCGCAATAGCTGTAATGTGTTTAGTGTAGTTTAAGAAACCAAAAACAACATATAGCAGTCTATCCTATGCACTAAATAACTAAATGGGAAGAAATAATTAAGTTAGCATTTATCCTGACATCGATATCGAAGAAATAAGATCAGAGGTTTAAGACAACAAAAAGGTTATAGGATTGACTTACTGTCAATGTATATCACTTATGTATCTAATAAGACATCTCCTGTAATGAGCCAATATTAAATATTAGAATGGTGGCCACATTACAACCTGACTGATAAAATTCAGTCTGCACCAAAGAGAGGACTAGACGCATCACACTAGTTACTAGTGTCAAATCAAAATATCCACTACAGTCCTACAGGAGGTCAATCGCGAGCCCGAATAGCTCAGTGGTAACGTCTCTGACTGCAGCACTGGGTGACGCGGGTTCGAATCTCAGAAGGGACATGAGTTCCTTCAAGGTTGCAGATACGCCTTGCTGACGAGTGCCAACTAGCACGAAACCTAGGTCCAAGGCTTCCTGCCGATTGCCTCCAACCACCTAATATCATCACAAACTATGTACACCGTGATGGCGGGCTACCTAGAATGGTGGCCACATTACAACCTGACTGATAAAATTCAGTCTGCACCAAAGAGAGGACTAGACGCATCACACTAGTTACTAGTGTCAAATCAAAATATATTAAAAGCTCACATAACAGGACGTTCAGAATAAGCTATATGCAGCCAGAATACTTTTGAGAATTATTTAAACTGGTAATTTCTAAATCTGTCCCGGTCTCGTTTTCTTAACATGTTTAAACTTGATACATTACTTACATTTGCTCCCAGTGTAGGAAAATCCTTTGTTTTCTTCATAATTTAGAAATAAAAAGTGAAATCAACTTGTGGTATATTTTCTGTGCAGTACTTAATGAAACAACTTAACAACTTATTACTCTTCTTGACAGTGGTAAGTTAGTACGAATTCCTCAGTTAAATAAAAACTTTGGAATGCAGCCAGTGTATGGGTTCAGCACACACTATACACATACCTGTGTAACTCATAGAGATTGGTGACAGATATCACGGTTAAGTACAATAATATAAAACAGTCTCTTAATACTTAAAATCTGTCACTAAAATACTTATATGAATATTACCGGGTCTTCCTGAAGTATGGGTTTATTTGTAGCAATTACGACATGGATTTCGCCAATAAGTTCTTCGGATAATTCAAGAAGTCTTATTAATGTATGGTTAAGAAATATAAGTGAATGTTAATGCCCTAAATCAGTAGTAAATTCTAATAGTGTGCGTGTATGTAATTCACTAATACACAAATATTGTAATAGTCATTCAGTGATCCTTTTACAAAGATACATAATCTTGTTTTTATAATCCACATTGTTATTACGGCAGTAGAATACAAATAAAATCGATAACCATACTAATTCGAATAATTCTACCAGCTATTCTCTGAGGAGATAATGTCATCATCATAATCAGATGATAAGGATAGTAGGCTCTTGTGGCCTGTGTTAATCTCTGCAAAATATATCTCTGCAGAGATCCAACTTCTTTTTGAAAGCGTTCACTGATGGAGCTGAAACTACTGAACCAGGTAAGGAGTTTCAGCCGTTGATCACTCTGTGAGAGAATCTAAATTCCGCAAGTATTTTAATCGTCCTAGGTTTGAGCACCTTTTGTTGATTACTTAACAAGTTGTAGTCTGAGGTGTGAACAGCACCATTCTACACGTTCCAATAAGTCACAAGCAGAAATGAGACTTTCATGGAAGTTAGTCAACAGCTGGATATCATTGCCGGAGCTGGTATAAAATCGCCAGTTAAACGCCCTCAATGAGAAACTGTCTCTACAAACACACATACTACAAAGTTTAACGCAAGCAACCACAGACTTCATTCTCTGTATTTTTTAAAAATCTGTAAGACACTCCACGAAACTTAAAAATGCAAAAGATACCTACTAGAAGTGAACGTAGTTGAATTGCCAAATATTCACATTACACGTAACGCAAAAACGGAAAGCGCTCCATGATCATTCAAGGTCTACAATATAGTCAATCACCATCTAATCTCTAAGGGCTGGACTTATCGAGAAAGTTGGTTGAAATTTAGCTTAGTAAATATTTATGTGAATAAATTCTGATAAGACTGTGTTATATGTTTTCTGGATTTATGGGAACCCTTATGGATAAGATTTTATTTGGATAAATCACACAGTGTTATACAGTAATATTAACTGATGACGTTTCGAGCACAAACTATTGCTCATAATCATATCAAGTTGCTCACATCACTTTTTTCTTCATTTATATACATGGGCCGAATTGATTAGACATTTGAATAAAAATCAATATGAGATAATATACATTCAGAAATAATAATATGAGTGTTATTGATCAGTTACAATCAGATGGGAAATAAGACGAGTGTTTTTATAGTCAAAATAAGTAACTTGTTTGGATTTTATGGTGTACGTGAATTGAAATAGAATTTTAAGATTATTTATTACCCTCCTCTGATTTGACTTGTAGTAATTATATCTTCATTAGGGATAAGAGTTATACTCTACCACAGTGCTCAAGTTCTATACTTATAGTAATAATATCTTCCATTTCTGTTGCGTGTGTTGGATGTAGACTCAATGAACCAGGATTCAGTAATCTATCTCTCTCCACCTACATAGATTACTCCTTAGAATTTTAACCTCACACGCTATTGTGTGGCTGTTTGTTAATGTATGCAGTGCAATTTCTGAGCTTTTTCTAAATTACTCATCTTCTCGAGGCCAACCATTCTTACCTTACCCAAATTCTTGTGTTCTGACAATTTGACTACCCGCGACCTACTAGTTTGACCTATTTAGTTGACTTCACAGTCACTGCAAGGTATTTTGTAAATTATATTATTTGTTTAATTGGGTCCACCGGGTCTTTCAGCCTACAGAGCTTGTCTCTGGGTGAGTTTGTATGTTTGAATAAGGCGTCTACTGTTATACCACATAAGGAGGGGACATCTGAGACCCTACGTAGGATTCTCAATAAAGCAGGAATTATTCAAGGTGAAAACATTGCCTGAATACAAATTGCTTGTTTCAGTTCAAATAATGAAATTCCAATTTTTGGATGTTTGTAATTTTTGAGGAAACTTTAAATAAATTTTCCTTGAACTAATGGTCTTCTTCTTTTGGCGAAACATCTGATGATACAATTAGACGATTAGGTAGCAAAGCAGAATGTTCTGTGATCGAGAATCGCGGTCTTTCTAATTAATATCGCGCGTCTAACTGTTATAACAATATGGATATAGCTTTTTCTTCATGGTACATTATTATATCTAGAAATCATAACCACAATGTCTTCGGTAAATTTATTTTTTCTTTTTAAGTGACTACAAGTAGTGAGTCATTTGAGGTAATCGGATAAAATTAGGATATATTTACTTTTTTCGACTAGGAGACTATCTTTTTACCAAGAAAGTTCTAAGGGTCTGCACATTCGTTTTGCAATTCAAAGATAAATTTAAGTTGCTCACTAAGTTAGCAAATGTAGGAGATTATCTTCAGCGGGAACTATTTCAAGGTGGCTAAGTAGATTGAGTTGGGGCGTCATAGAACTAAGTAGAGTACGTCGATTGTGTCTAAATGTATTGAACATCGTGTAACTGGTCAGATCGTGGTTCTTACACACTTTACTAGGTAGTCTTATAATTAATGAAAGTACAGTGCAAGCGTTTACTTTGATCTGCATGCTTAGCTATTAAACACTATTCTTGCAGGTGCTGTACATTTAAGGTTGATAAGCTGTGTGGTGAGTTCTGTGAAACACGCTACTTTCATGATTAAAGCAAGAAGAACAGGTCAAGCAGGATAAAGTGGCGTCATTAAAGTATAATAATAATAGTCTACTTATATACAGAATGGAATTCTCCGCATTTGTCACAATATTGCATCTGAATTGGTTAACATGTAAATTAACCACAGGGAATTGTCCACAGTTACGGTATTAAGTCAGAAATATTCGAGAGAGGATTATAAAAATAAGAATATTTTTTAATTTTTAATTTTTATTTTGGTTACAGCTTGATGCCACACCGTATTTTCAGTACAAGTATGGCACTTTCAGCATGGATATCAATAGCCCAAATTTTGCAGGCCGACCATAGATATCGGGGCAGGGGGCTCGAACCTCGGACCATGTGCATGGTAGGCGAGAGTCCTAACCACTGTGCCACCGACGCAACAAATAATAATAGTAAAGCTTGATGGGATGAGGATGGGGAGGATGGTTTACTCACTAGGTTAGTCCCTGACACTGTTTTCTATCGCATAAAATACGTGCCAAATGTGGTATCGTGGATGTTACATTCTAAGACTCGAACGCATACAGTCTTTTGAAATGACTTCTTGTATTACCTGAGGAGACACAAGGTGAAAGCTGCAGGTAAAGCGAATGCTCACAGCCTGCCAAAATCAAATGCCTGTCATCAATTACGACTGAAAAGATATGGCCCAAAGGTATGTCACTCATCCTACTAACAGTCTTCAGAGTTCTACGAAGTACGGCATTGTCTTTTTAAGCAATCCAGGAAAGAATAAGGGTAAACAGTGCAGAAGAATACGTAAGATGCACGAATTGACAAACTGTAAGAGGAGGGGTTGATTTGCACCTAAGTGCCTTAACTTCTTAATGTGAAAAGTCAGGTAAAATATTCTTCTAGAAATCGCTAAAACATGGGAAGACCAAGATTGGTCAGAAAAAAGAATTAATCCAAGCTGCTTAACGTCAGGCTTGATTGGTATTACACTGTCCTCAATTATACAACGGTCATGAAAATTAACAGCTTCATTTAGCACTGATATAAGTATAAAACTTGGGCACTGTGGTAGAGCATAACTCCATTATGGATAAGATTTTATTTTAATAATAATAGTTTATATTTCGTATAAACGAGTAAGTCTACATATTATATTATTATTATATTATATATTACTGTACAACACTGTGTGATTTATCAAAATAAAATCTTATCCATAATGGATTCATTTAACACTCTTTTACATCTGGAGATGAAATTAGCAGTCTGACATTTGGAGTGATTCAGTTTAAGACCATAAGACAAAGAACATTTACTGACTTCTGATAGAAAGCTGTTCATCTTAGTACAGTCTAGCTGGAAGTTAACAGCCATTGAAACAGTTAGGTTATACACATATTCAACAAAGTAGATATGCAAATACTGCAGTTGTTGATCACAGAAATGATGGATACTAGATAACATCAAATGATTCAACAGCATATTAGAAATAAATAAAAATTGTTTCTTGGCTGATTATCAGGTGGACAGTCTATTTGGTGATGTCACTGCATATCAGCAGATTGATGGAGTAGCTATCAACCCTAAGCTGCCACATTTACTTGTACTACAGACTTGGCGACTTTAGCATATCGAACAGTGCAGAATTATTATTCAATTTGCTAAATCCCACCTAGTTTTTACAATGTGCAATTCTTATATTAAATATCATTAAATTTTGTGTACAATAAAGTTGAATGTTAGCCACATCTGCACCCTGCCTGCAGTTATCTGTCACCTTCTTTGTCTTTTCACAGCTTTCCCTGGATCATGGTACCCAAGCAGTTATTTTATATCCCACACTTGTATCACTCAATTTTAGTATTGTATTTGCACAAGTAACACTTTCGCTTTGTTCGGCAAGGAGTTTGTAAACTTGCTAAAGACTAAGCAATCTTCGTCACGAATTCCGTTCATTAACTCGAAACTGGATACAGGTTATTGCTAACACAATATGCCTACCAGTAACCATGTATTTGTCGGACTTCTCACACACCAGGTCTAGAACCATAGTCTTCAATGTGTGTTTGATATATTGTGATTCAGGAATCAGTGTATAGTCTGCTAACCCTGTTATTCCTCTTATCATCAGTCAATTCATCCAGCAAGTTGCATATTATGGCGTAATATTTATGGAACCTTGTAAAAGATTTTGACAAGTAGTAGCAATTTTCATGCGTATAATCTTGGCATAACCTACTTATTCGTAGTTTATATGTTACCGTTATTATTGTCTCCTTTAGTTTCCAGAGGGCTTCAGCCACACAGCTCTATTGCGTTTGGTTCTCCGCCAACGTTTTTGCCTGGCTTTGCGCTCGCCCACATGATCTCACCTCCCCTTCACACGACCTCCTCCATGTCACACTCGGACGACCAACTCGCCGCTTCCCGTCCAGGTTCCACTCAACGGCTTATCTGGCGTTTAATGTCACTTGATGGTTTCCCCAGAGTATGGCCAATCCACCTCCATTTCTTCTTGCCTGTTTGTTGCACAATCGGTTCCTGGTCGATTCGCCCCCAGAGATCCCTGTTGCTGATCTTTTCTGGCCAGCCATCTGATCTTGGGTATTGAGCAAAGACGACTGGTAATGAAAGTCTGTAGTTTCTTTGAGGTGCTCTTCATGACGTGCCAATTCTCTGAACCATGAGTAGCACCGACCCCCTATTGGAGTCGAAGATCTGGATCTTATTTTTCATGCTGAGTGCTGCTGACCTCCACACAGACTTGACAGTAGAGAAAGCTTGCCTTGCTTTCCCGATCCTCGCCTTGATATCCTCGTCAGTTCCATTCGCCTGTAGTTGAAATGGTGCTTCCCAGGTAGGTAGGTAGGAAGGAAGTTGCTTCTTTCATATTTTTCCTATTTATGCTGACCGTCGTCTGTTGTTGTTACTGTTGGTGTTGCCCAGGAATCTTCATCAACTCTGTCTTCTTTATGTTCACCGGAAGTCAAGCCCTATCTTCTCCGGATGCTTCTTCTACCAACTTATTGTTTGCTTGTTTTCCGTTTTGTGGGAAATCAAACATGTTATCGGCGAGATCCAGGTCCTCCGAGTTTTTTGTAGGGGTCCATTTTGTGCCTGTATGCTCACTGCCCGCTGTATGTCACATTATCCAATCTACCGCAATCAGGAAAATCATTGAGATAGTAGGCAGCCAGCCAGCTTGTCCTACTCCCGTCTTCACTTCGAAGGATT